TTTCTCCTACTCCCGCTGGGCCACGCGACGACGGCCACCTTTGACGGACCACGAGGGAACCCTGGGCACGGAGCTGCTGGCCCTCGTCTTGCCGGAGGCCCTTGTTCCCCCGAAGTTGCGGGCCCGTCGCAGCGAAGCATGGGTGAAGAGGCGGAGGAGGCGCTCGCCGACTTCTTCATCGCCAGGAGGAGGAGGAGGAGGAGGAGGAGGAGGAGGAGGAGGAGGAGGAGGAGGAGGAGGAGGAGGAGAAGGGGAGGAGGAGGAGAGGAGGGGGAGGAGGAGGAGGAGGAGGAGGAGGGGGAGGAGGAGGAGCAGGAGAGGAGCAGGAGGAGCAGGAGGAGCAGGAGGCAGGAGGAGGAGGAGGAGGAGGAGGAGGAGGAGGAGGAGGAGGAGGAGGAGGAGGAGGAGGAGGAGGAGGGGTCGCCACGACGGCATGGGGTCATGAGGCGCGCGGGTCCTGGCCCCCGCGGCTCTCCGCAGGACCAGTGGCTCCTCCCGAGCCGTCCTCTGACGGCCCCGGGGCCCGCTCAGGGCCCGTTGAGGGTCCCCCCCGCATTCGAGTGTCGAGGCCCCCGCCGCCCCTCTTCTCTTCTCCGTCGCGTCTCCCTGCTCCCACCGCTGCAGGTCCTCAGCGCCCCGCCCCCGCTCGCAGCCACTCGCTCAGCTCGTCTCCTCCCCTCCTCCTCCTCCTCCTCCTCCTCCTCCTCCTCCTCCTCCTCCTCCTCCTCCTCCTCCTCCTCCTCCTCCTCCTCCTCCTCCTTATCCTCCTTATCCTCCTCCTTCCAATTTCGAGCTGCGGACCGTTGTCTCCCTGAGGCCTCCTCCTCCTGCTCCTCCCCCTCCTTCTCTGTGTTCCTCCTCCTCATCCTTCTCCCTCGGATTTCGAACTGCGGACTTTCGTCTCCCTGAGGCCTCCTCCTTCTCCTCCTTCTCCTCGTTCGTCTCCTCCTCTGGCTTCCTTTTTCTCCTCCTCCGAATGCGACGTCGACGGTGACGGCGACGGCGGCGGCGACGACGACCACGACTACGACGACGACGACGACTACGACGACGACGACGACGACGACGACGACGACGACGACGACGACGACGACGACGACGACGACGACGACGACGACGACGACGACGACGACGACGACGACACCGACGACCGACGACCGACGACCGACGACGACGACGACGACGACGACGACGACCTTGAGGCACCTGGCAGGGCCCGGGGAACTACGGAGGGGGAGAGGAAGTCGAGAGGGTGCCAGTGAGCTTGCGAAGCTCTTGCGGGCAGTACGGGGAGGGGCAAGAAGGAGGAGGAGGAGGAGGAGGAGGAGGAGGTAGAGAAATAAGAGGAGGAAAAGGAGGAGGAGGAGGTGGAGGAGGAGGAGGAGGAGAAGGAGGACTATGCAGGACCATGCAGAGAGGACGTACAAGGACTCTATGAGCGCAGTGGTGCCCGAAACCGCCTTCTAACCCCCGTCCAGAACAGGGGCAGAAACTGGTGGGGGCAGATTTCTGCCAGCGTTTTTGTGAACAAGATGGGGTGGACAACCTGTTGCCCGCCTCCCCTCTTCCTATGGGTGGATCGCGCTTCCTCCCGAATTACATGTGTACTGGGCTCAGTGGGAGAGGACATATTTCCATGCCTCCCGAGGGCAGATTCTGCAAAACCACGCTTGCCAGAGCTGTTTCCCGAGCCTGGCCAAAGCCATCTCGAACACCAAACAGGCAACTCGATTGCGGCTCCAGCCGTGTAAGCGTAATCAGCGCAGCTTCCTCCCAGCGTTTTTATTGCAAGGTAGGGCGGGCAACTTCTGGCCTTTGTATCCGATTTACAGATGTCTTGGACGTGACGGGAGGGACACATGTTCAGCCGCTTGCCGACCAGATTTGTAAATTTTGGATGTAACCCACAAGGCAACTACAGCCGGCCGATGAACGTCGACGCTGGCAGCAATCCAGAGAGTACACGTGACGTCCTTCGGTTGCGGTTTGGGCGCATGGTTTCGTTGCAGCGGTTCCAAGCGGAGCGGGCGTGAGGGGAGGGATACTTTCCCTTGCACCTTTGACAACAACGCACGTCGTGCGAAGTCTTTCTGAAACGTTACCGCACCTGCTGCGCATCGGGATATTCCCATCCAGGTCAATTCCTTGGATGGGGGTTGCGATCTGTGGGGTATTACACGACATCCGTAAGCCTCCACTGAAGGTTCAAGCATGGTCATCCCTGCGGGGTATCGAGCCGCTCTCTCATGGTACATCCCCAGTGATCTACAGGCACCTCGTTCTTGGAAAGCCGTACGCACCTACGGCACAGCCACGACTCCCCAATGAAAGCCCATTCGTCGACGGGAGGGGGGGGGAGGGGAAGCGGCATCAGAGACGGCGGCGGCACCGACCGCAGGGGCCCAGGCGGGGGGTGGCGGGGAGGGTGTGGCCCCCCCCCCCCCCCCTGGGCGGCCGCTCCCGTCACGTCCTGTGCCGATGTAGCCAACGCCTGGTAACTGGCTGGCCTGCCCGCCTCCCCCATCCAGGTGCCGCCGCTGCGGAAAAGGAGGAGGAGGAGGAGGAGGAGGAGGAGGAGGAGTGACCTGCGGCGCGGGTTCGCTGGGGTCCCGCTTCTCTACCAGCTCGGCCCGTGCCCACCTCAGCAGCGGCAACGCTACCTTCAAGCTCTGTCCTGGGCAGTTTTGGGGTCTTGCTCTGCCTCAAAAGACGCTCAGCCTCTGACGGTTCATGGTGATTCACGTTTCAGGCCTCGGCCTTTGGCATCGGAGTAGTTCTTACCCACCGCCCGCCGCCGCTGTTGGGGTGCATAGGGGAGCACACGAGAACGGAGCAGTGCGGGCCGTGGTCTGCACCACGTCAATGGCACAAGGGAACGCCTGACGTCTTGGTGCCGTCTATTTTGTTCACACATCGGGTGATCCGCGATTGCAAACCTCACTGCGGGGCTTAGCATTAACCCCCTCGGGGCCTTCATAGTCAGTTACACGCAGGTTTCCGTCCTGGGCAACTGGGGGATCGCAGCCAGCATGCCGATGTGCTCCGCCCTTGGGCTAGTTTGCGGCAGGAGCGTGCAAGCTCGGCCTCTGATGGATGGTAAAGGGGACCCGTAAGAGCCCGACGGAGATGCACGCCCAGCTGGCCATCTGGCACGACCTGGGGCAAAGCTTACACAGAGCCACCAGACAATAGTTCCCCCGTAAACATCTCCGTTCAGGATAAGCATCAGGAGAAGGGGAATGTCGAGGAGGTGGAGGAGGAGGGGAGATGAGGAGGAGCAGGAGGAGGAGGAGAAAGAGGAGGAGGAGGAGGAGGAGGAGGACAGGAAACCAACGGAAGGGAAAGCAAGACTGCCCCGCTGGCAGGACGAAGAGGAGGGGAAGCCCCAGCGCAAGCTGGACGCCGCGACGGCTCCAGAGTTCATGGTGGTGCTGCACAGTTCGGAGGAGAGCGGCTTGGGTTCGGAGGAGGATGAGGAGAAGAAAGCGGAGGGAGACACAGGGTCGGAGAATTGGCAAATGAGGGGGGGGGGGCATGCAATCATTTTGGAATTTCTCAGTACCCTCATCACTGCAACCGACATAGCCAAGTCTCCCAACATTTTCACTTACATGAACACCTCTCGGGCGATTCTCGTGCAGAAGAGGCAGAAGAGATGAATTGAAGTTTCTGGATGGGAACGGATGCAGTGTTCGCCATGTGATGGCTTCGCGTCTGTTGCTCTTACGTTCGACATTGGCAGAATTCTTTGATAACCCGCCGCCCTCAGCATATGAAGCCTGATGTGTACATTGTGGAACCATCTAAGGGTGCACCTGCAGGGAAACAGCCACCGTGCCAGCGAGCCATTCTGTGTGGCGGTCCCTCGAGCACCGCCCAGAAGGCAGTCTCATGTGCCGCCTCCTCGTCCCCACTTGTTGAGGAGGCCGCCTTGAGGCTGTCATCGGCCACTGTGGGACAGGCTTGCAGGGCCCCTTGTTTTGGGGCCCCCCATGCCTTGGGCCGTCTTGGGGGACGGTGTGCCACGTGCGAGGTCTCTTGGGGCCGTCCCAGGGCCCCCTTGAGAGCCGCGTTGGCATTGTCTTACGCCGTCTTGGGCGCCGCCGCAGGCCCCCTGGGCCAGCTTGGGTTCTTCTCTGGAAGCCCTGTTCTGCCGTCCAGCTGCCCTCCTGGGGCTCTCAATGGACTCGCACGGGCATCCGTAGAACGCACGCGGAGCGAGATTCGACCGAAGGGCGAGGGAAGCGAGCCACATTCGAAATCTCAGAGGACACCCAATGCTAAGAGCACCGGACGTGTTTGTCAATTTTACCCCAAGCCGAGGCCGCTGATCTTTTCGTGCATGTAGCCTCTCCTCGCCCGCACGCGCGACACGCACAGAACCGTAGCCTCCCATGACCCCCTCCTCTCCCTCCTCATCGCTCTTTTCTCCTCGTTCCTCCTCTATTTCTTTCCTCACCTTCTCCCTTCCCCTCTACCCTCCTTCCCGACTGCTCCTCCCTGTTCGTTCTCCACTCTTCCTCCTGGAGCTGGTTCTAAGAAGGGGCATGGGGATGCTGGGTGGTTCCAGCGGTGGCTGTGGCGTTTTGGGGACGCATTGGGGAGGGGTGGTAATGATGATACTGCTGCTGCTGCTGCTGCTGCTGCTGCTGCTGATGATGATGATGATGATGATGATGATGATGATGATGATGATGACGATCATGACGATGTTGTTGTTGATGATGCTGATGCTGATGCTGATGCTGATGCTGATGCTGATGCTGATGATGTTGATGATGCTGGTTCTGATCATGGTGCTGGTGATGATGACGATGGTTTTGTTTTTGTTGATGATGAGTCTGCTGATGATCCGTAGCCATTTTGGCTCAAGTTCGAAACGCGCGGCCTGGCGCTTCGAGCTTGGTCGCAGCTGAGGGCCTGGCTCGAGGGCGGCTGCCCTTCCAGGAACGCTCCGCTTGACCTCAGGCAACAACATCTTCAGTCTCACGCACCCGCGGATGACGCATGAGGCAGCTCCCGAGTGGGCCCGCTCGATTCTGGCTTCGGTGACGGGCATCGACGCAAAGCTCTCGTCGTTCCAGATCGAGATCACGTCGTCTGTCACGGAGATGCGCTCGGACTACAGCCAGTTGGCCGCGAGGATGGACATCCTCGAGGCAAGCATGGAGCAATATCAGTCGAGCGAGGATGTCATGGCTGACCTTCCGCGGAGGCTGAGCGTCAGGTAAGGATGCAGAAGCTCGAGTCCATGGTCCAGAAGCTGGGGAGCCAGCTCAACGACACGCCAGCAGACGGTGGACCACCTCCTCGGCGTCGTCGTGCACTCAGCCCCGCTTCGTCACGTTCAACTGGCCTTTCATCTGCGGATGGTACGATGGGATCTTCGTCACAAGAGGGGGCCGCTCGCCTTGTACTGCTTGGATTTCCACGGCCGCTCATGCAGGCCACACTCCGCCGCGCGGCGGAAGTGGTACGTCACCGCTGCATGCCCCTTCATTCGCAGACCTCGGTGGTGATCAAAGCGTTCGACCTCAGTAGGAAGGCGATCTTCGAGTTCAACTCAGCATCGGCAGCGTCGGATTTTCTTAGCAACTTCCAGGAGATTGAAGGCGAGCTTCAGTTCCCTGATCCCAAAGGCGGACATTTCGTGCTCAAAGTCCGCAGAGACCTCAAGGTCAAAGATCGTCGTCTGTTTCTCGCAATGGGCAAGCTCAGACAGAAGCTCGAGGCACTGCTCAATGGCAGGTTCACGGTTGGCTCGAACGGACTCGGTGGCGACGTCTACATACTGCGCGGTGAGGAGGACCCTGTTCAGTGTGCCCACGTGTCGGTACTCGAAGGTGTGAATGATGTCCAGGTTGAACTGACTCCACTTTGACGGAGTTTGGCATTCTGGCAGACAAAGCCAGCCTGATGGATGCGGCGCAGGTCGCAATGAGACGCCCCTTTTAAGCATGCACGCAGCAGCAATTATTGAGCGGCCAGGCACTCGCTTCCTGTTGACTGTTGTTTCCCCTCTTCTCCCTCTTCCCCCCCCCTCCTCCACCGACACTACGGATGATACGTCTGGCAGCTCGGACACGGATGACATTACGGATATTACGGATATTCCCTTCTCTCCTCTGCGCCCCTTCTCGATGGTCACGTGGAATGCCGCCGCTCTTTTTGCTTCTGTCAGGTATGGAGGGGAGGTGGCGAGGGCTCGCTATCGTAAATTCTTGCAGTTGTGTGAACGTCATGACATTGTATGCATTCAGGAATGTCATGGGCATGAAGGGGATATCGCATGCCTGAAGCAGCAGTTGCGTGGGTGCCACATTGGTGCTACGATGTGTGCGTCGGCTGCTGCGGGGGGCACAGTTACCGTAATTAGTGCTGCGCTCGCTTCTCAGTTCTCTTCTATTCGGCGTCGTCCCTTGTGTGAGGGGCGGGTGCTTCTATCTCATTGTGTCGGTCCGCATGGTGCGCTATGTATCATCAATGTTCACATGCCTAACACGTGTCATGGTCACCAGCAGTATAGGCGAGTGCTCCACACGGTGTGTTGTGCGTTACCATCGGCAACGTCTTGTTTCAACCTCAGAGGTGGGGACTGGAATTTCGCGCTGGAGGAGGAGGGGAGGCAGTCGGATGATGGGCATTGGGAGGCTGGGGACAGATGGCACACCACATATTTTGGCACGAAGTGTGCACGTTGGGCCGAGCTCTACCAGCCTGATCCGACACGATACGGTTGGGGCAACGACGGCAGTTCTCATACGGGCCGCCTCGACCGAATATACACTGATCTTCCGTGTGCCCTCCTCACCGACCTCACCCTGCAGGCAAAGGTGTGGAGCCGACCGAAGCGGTATGAGCCGTCGGATCATCTTCCAGTCGCAGTCTCCTGTCAGGCTTTCAACCCCAAGGAGTCCTCGACGGCCCCAGTGTGGCTCAGCAAGACCCCCGTCTACAAAGATATTGTCTCGGAAGGCCTCCTACAGACCCCCACGGAGTGGTGTCCTCTTCGGCGGCTTGAAGCTGCAACATCGGTTATGCACGACGCTGTTAGGGCTGCCAAGCGCGCACTTGCACATAAACATGCTCGCACTCCTGAAGAACAGCATTTCTGGGCAATGCGTGCTGTGCGAGGGTGGCGTACAGGGAACTTTGACCTGGTACGCAGTGCGATCGGCGCGCCCCCGCATCTGTTGCAAATCTTTGATGTGGACCGTGAGGAGTGCACGGACTACGCTCGTCTTTGCGAATTTGCCAGGTCGTGCCATTACACTGTGTTGGAGGCCCAACTTAACCAGGCGGTTGCAACGACGACGGAGGGAGAGGAGGAGGAGGCTCGGCGGCTGCAGGCCATCTCGCGTGCCCGGTTTAAGATGCAGATATGGCGCAAGATGCGACGCCGTGTGCACCTCTCGTGCGTTCTTGCTGACGACGGCTCCCCATGTGCGACGGCGGAGGAGTCTGGCAACGCACTTGCTCGCTACTGGGAGGGGGTATTTGCTGCTCAGGAGGAGGATATGTCGGGGTGGGAGGAGTTCCTTGGGCACTGCCAGTCTGTTCGGCCTCTGAGTGAGGTGGCTCAGTGGAGGGTCGAGCGGGATGATTTTATCCGTGCCATTCGTGCAAAATCCAACGCGGCCCCTGGTCCTGATGGTATCCCTTACAGCTGTTGGCAGACTGACCCTGCCGCCAATCTGCTTTTTGATGTCTATGAGTACCTTTACGACACGAACAGCACAGATTTCCCTATTGACATGCAGCACGTCCTCCTCACCTTCCTACCCGAGGGTAGTCAGGACTCCGGCGTGGGCACAGCTGTTTGTCGTGACTCTAGCAAGACGCGGCCGTTGGCGCTAGCTGACACATCGTGCAAGGCGCTGTCTGCAGCGATGGGCTTGCCACTTGCCTCGGTTGCGAAGTCGACAGTTCATGCGATGCAGTCGGGAGGTGTCGGTGGGAGGAGTATCACATCTAACGTGGTGGAGGCTGAGGACTGGGGGCTATCTCAATGGCTTCGTGATAGGCCGCACTCGGCGCTCTTGCTCACCGACTTTGCGGCTGCGTTCCCTTCCCTCTTCGTCAGCTGGATTCTCACTGTCCTTAGTACCATGTCTGTTCCCACTCCCATCATCTGCTTCTTTGCCGCCCTATACACTGTCACTCTTTCTGGGCGGCGCCTGCAGCGCATCAAGATTGAACGAGGTGTACGACAGGGGGGCCCGACTAGCATGTGCCTCTTTGCGTTGGCCCTCGACCCGATTTTGCGCTGGCTTCTGCATAAAGGTAGCACACACATCGACAGAGGGCTAGGGTATGCGGATGATCTGCTGTTTGGGGTCTGTGATATCCATACTAGGCTGGTTCCTATTCTCGTGCTCCTGGGGGCCCTGGACAATGCTATTGGTCTTCGGCTTAACTACTCTAAGTGCCAACTGGTTCTTACGGGTGGGCAGGCGTGTGATGAGGTATCGGGTTGGCTTCAGGCTCTAGGGGCGCCCTTTGAGTTCCTTCAAGTTGGGCGTCACGCCCGCTACCTGGGGGTGGAAATCGGTCCCGACGGGGGAGCTCACGTTTGGAGGGAGGCCATCGACAAATTCCAACAGCGTGTACGTGCCCGTCGGAATCTTGGGCTCGGTCTTGCGATGACCATCGTCATGTTCACATCCACTTGCCTGTCTGTGCTTGGGTATCTTTTGCAGTTCTATGCCCCGACTCAAGAGGTGCACCATGTGTATAATGCATCTCTTCAGTTGCTCGCCGCAGCCCCGCGATATTTTTCTCTACCAAGATGCTCTGTGGTCTCAAGGAACTGGGACTGACCGCGGAGTTCCCAGCACTGGGACCGTACGCTCGCGCGGTGCAGTTGCGCGCGGCTATCGCATGCCCTGCGTTTGCTCAGGTTCAGGCGCGGCTGGAAGCCGCCACCTCGACGGAACGGATACGGAATGGGATGGAGGATGGGGTATGCATTGCTAGGACACTGACTGGGTGGTGGAGGGACTCTTTTGTGCGACAGATGTGCCTTGTGTGCAACGGCTGCCAGCAGATCGCTGAAGCGGTCCCGCGCGATTTCCCTAAGAAGAAGCTCCAGCGTCGGTTCCTGAAGGCCCTCATCGCTCGGGACCCCGTGGACCTCGCTGATTGTCCTGAAACTGGGCTCCTCCGCAGGATCTCCTCCTGGCTCCCTGCCCCCTGCCCCATCGAGGTTGCCCGCATGATCGGGAAAATCCGTTACACGACGAAACGTACGAAGATGTATATTGGGCTGGCTCCGTTGCGAATCGCATGCCGTGGTGTGCGTACTACTTCGCGTTTCCACACGACTTCTCGGGGTTGCGTCTTTGGGTGTGTGTCTGTGGTCCCTGGGGCGGACCTTGACGATATGCAACACTACATTGTATGCCCGCGTCTCCAGGAGATTGCAAGGCTCTGGCTGGGTGCGATAGTGGATTGTGCCGACACTATTCCGATCTCCTCCCTCCCCCTCCTTGTTGTGCACCCGTCTGTGGAAGCAGTGCTGTGCTGCGCGTCGTTTTGCGAAGCCTTTTTACACACTCACTCTCAGAAGAGGGTTGGCTGTGACGCCGACCCCGCGAGACTCTTCGAGGCGCGCATACGCCTCCACTGCAGGCGCCACCGCGCCCTGCAGACAGCCTGGACAAAGGTCGCCGCCGCGAGGCTCGCTGTGGGGCAATCAGCAGGCTAGCGGGGGAGGGGAAAAAATGATGAGTCTGCTGATGACGATGATGGTGATGAGTATGCCGATGATGCTGTTGATGATGATGATGATGATGATGATGGTGATGATGATGATTTCGGTGATGAGGATGATGATGATGATGATGACGATGATGACGACGACGATGCCGATGATGATGATGATAATGGTGATGGTGATGGTGATGATGCTGATGCTGATGCTGATGATGATGATGATGATGATGTTGCTGTTGCTGGTGATGATGCTGATGATGATGATGATGATGGTGATTATGATGGGGAGGAGGAGGTGATGATGATGATGTTGAGGATGATGATGATGATCATCATCATCATCATCATCATCATCAACAACAACATCATCAGCAGCAGCATCATGATGGTGATTATGATGGGGAGGAGGAGGAGGAGGAGGAGGAGGAGGAGGAGGAGGAGGAGGAGGAGGAGGAGGAGGAGGAGGAGGAGGAGGGGGGAGACAATGAGGAGGATGAGATGAGGAGTGGGAGATGGAGGAGGAGGGAGGGGGAGAATGAGAAGCCGCAGCACGTCCGAGGTCGAACTCGCACGCCGCTCCCCGGGCGGCAGCCGGCGGGGGGGGTGCGCGGGTGGGGGGGAGAAGGATACCCTCGGAGACACGGGGGCGCTGCGGCGGGAGATGGTGGCGGAAGAGGGGGCTGGGCGTTCCCACTCCTTCGCGGTCGGGGAGCGTGTCCGTGTCCTGCCTGCTGCTTTCCTGGCGCCATAGCGGGCGGGCCTCCGCGGGCGAGCAGGTGGCATACAGTCGGATTGAGGCACAAGATCGAGGTCGGTTCGGGGTTGGCACCCTAGTGGTCTTCGTGCTTGTTTGATGTTCTTGTGCATCCTGGCGAGGGTACCCTTGGACGTTCTGTGTGTTTTGGCCGGCGGAGGGTGCCACGCTGTTGAAGGATGTCCTCCTGTTTTAGGTCCGACTGTACGTGCAGCCACACAGGGGCCCAAAGAGAGCGGGGGGCCCGCAGGCTCCCGAACGCCCCCGAAAGTTCAGGAGGAAAGCCAACGTATCCGTATCCACGGCCTCGTGGGCCAGGCCCTTTGGGCCCCGACCTCGTGGACAGGAAGCGTTTTTGGCCGCGGCGTCCCCGTGCGGAACGTATTCGTGCGCCCGCGTGTTCGCGGGATGGCGCCCTGGATGCGAATGAGTCCACCGCTCTTGAGGGCGAGTAGGGGAGCGTTCCAACTTGCCCCCCGTGCCGGAGCCGCCCCGCCGGGCCAGGCAAGGGGGCGCTGACACATAATTAGGAGACCTTCCAAACGCTGGGGGTGTGCTTCCCCCGTCTTACATCGTTCGGTCGCAACTCTTCGGCCAAAAGGACAACAGAAACGCACGCAAGAAAGTGGACGTCAGGCAGGCAACATTTTCACACTTTTGCGAGACAGTCAGGCGCTGTTTGAGGCGAGCGGTGGGCTGCAGTAGATCGTAGCGCAGGCACGAAGCGAAAGAGCAACGGACGAGAGACAAGACCAAGGCGGAGCCCGATCACACCATGCAGGTCGGCGGGAGTGCCGTCGGGGCATGCAGCTGCGTACGAGCAGCGGGTCAGTTGCGCGAGATGGAAGGCCTCGTGTGGGGTTGAAGAACACCAGTATGTTGTCCCGGGACAAAGGGTGGAGTCGGGGGTGGACAGAACCCCCAACAGTGACACGTCGATTAGTGAATTGTCCGTTTTCGGTTCTCGAGAGGGCGCCGCGGCCGTTATTTTCCAGGCTTGCGCCCGCCAGGTTTGGGCCTCAGGTCGTTTTCACTAAACTACGTTTTACTAAAGGGAGGTCTGTCCATCCCCGATGGAGCTGCGGGAGGCTCAGAGAACCGTGCTTGAAAGGATGCCCCTGGTGCCAGGTGGATCGAAATCTGGGTAGCGTGCGAAGCGGACGACTCCGGCAAAGCTTGGTTGAGAGTAGCTGGCCTTGTAAGGGAAACTTTGAATGAAGTGGTCGACGGCACATTTGAGTTGGAAGCCCTTGGAGAATTGCCGTAGAACGCACGAGCGAGCTTTTCACATCATGCGTGCAGGACGAAGACTAGTAGGTTGGCCACTGGCCGATCTTGGTCTGGACGCCCCGAACTGGAAGCAAAAGGAAGCATGTCTCTTGGAAGCGTTGAAAAAGCGTCCTCGGCGTTTGGTCCTGGACCACCGACGGCGCGACGCCGTCCGTGGCCCGGGCCCCCAGCTGGGCCTCGGGCCCCCGCACAGCGAGGCCGATTCTGCAGCCCTGCGCGTGTTCCGGGAGGCCAGGAGGAGGAGGAGGAGGAGGAGGAGGAGGAGGAGGAGGAGGAGGAGGAGGAGGAGGAGGAGAAGAGGGCCCGAGGCTCGGGGGCGGAAAAGAGGGGGGTGATGACTGGGGGGGGGGGGGATATATCATGGGGGGGGCCAGGATTTTCCTCAGATCTCATGGCGCCTCTGCTTATTTCATTGCGTCCCTGGCCCCCCCGCTGGGCCGCACGCATGCCGCCGGTCACGATGTGCACCCCCCCCCCTCTTGGACACCCCCCTCTTGGCCGCTCCCAAGAGGCGCGCCCGCTGCGCTTCTCCGCCGCGTCGGAGGTCGGTGTGGGCCCCCCCCGGGGCCCCAGAACCCAGGGCATGGCAAGCCAGGGCTCTGCCAGATCCAGCTGGAGCCGAGGAAGAGTGGAGAATCTGTCGCCCCTCGGCTACAGATTTCTCGGGCTCTCTTGATGCCCTGGCCCACCAGCACGTCCCTGTTTATGTGGCCCTGACCTTTTCTTCTCGAAGAAAGAGCTGCACAAGCCTGGAGGCGAGCGAGTGGGGGAAGTGAGAAGGAGAAGGCCCTCTCAGAAGGCGGCGGGACTTCTCAGAAGCCCCCGCGCCTTCTGAGAGGTTCTTCGTGTCTTCGGGTAAGGCTCAGACAACTTCTCAGAAGGCCGGGGGACATCCGAGCCTTCCGAGGAGGCCTTCCCCTTCTCTTTTCCCCCCCTCGCTCGCCGCCGAAGAACTGTCGGGTAACCGCACGGCTTTGTGGGATTGGCGTTGGACCCCCCGCGCTCGCCGCCGAAAACTCTCGGGGAACCGCACGGATTTGTGGAATTGGCGTTGGACCCCCCTCGCTCGCCGCCGAAAAGCTGCCGGGGAACCGCACGGACTTGCGTTGGACCCCCCCTCGCTCGCCGCCTCCGGCACCCCGTCGTGTGGCCAGTGCCTCCTAGCCCATGGGGCTGCTGGAGGTACTCTTTCGGCCAGTGAGGTATCCCTCACTTAGGATGGTTCTGTCCTCCTCTGGGCCTTCTCTTGGGAAATGCTGAAAAAATGGTTTTCGTGATCGTGGAATTGTATGGTGTTTCGATGATTGTTTTCGTTTTTTTTGGTTTCCGTTCAAGCGCCGCATGGTCATAAATTGCATGTGCCAGAATCGCCCCCCAAATTAAAGGGTCAATAGGAAATGCCAGAATGGCACTGCGCTGCCAGTGAGGGACCCTCACTGCCAGCAGCGGTTTCCCAGCCGCCGCTGCTGTGCTCGCCAAGGCTGTGCGGGCGGTGAGCTGAAAAAAAAAAGCGCCCGGCGCCGCCCCCGGCGCGCTCCGCCCGCCGGGGCCCTGCGGGGGTGCCCCGCGCCGGCCGGGGCAGCCCCGCGCGATGCTCCGGCAGTTTCTGTTTGCTTCTTGTGCAGCGCACCACAGCTCCCCTCCATCCCCCAGCTTGATGATGATCCTCCCTCCTCCTCTCCCCCCTCCTCCTCCTCCTCCTCCTCCTCCTCCTCCTCCTCCTCCTCCTCCTCCTCATCCTCTCCTCTCCTCCTCCTCCTCCTCCTCCTCCTCCTCCTCCTCCTCCTCCTCCTCCTCCTCCTCCTCCTCCTCCTCCTCCTCCTCCTCCTCCCTCCTCCTCCTTCTCCCTCCTCCTCTCCTCCTCCTCCTCCTCCTCCTCCTCCTCCTCCTCCCTCTCCTCCCTCTCCTCCCTCCTCCTCTCCTCCTCCTCCTCCTCCTCCTCTCCTCCTCCCTCCTCCTCCTCCTCCTCCTCCTCCTCCTCCTCCTCCTCCTCCTCCTCCTCCTCCTCCTCCTCCTCCTCCTCCTCCTCCTCCTCTTCACCCACTTAGCTGGCGCCGCGTTTCACCCTCAATTTGGCGTCGTTGTTTGAGACTGTGCTCCTGCCTACGCACCGGACGGCGTATGGCTTGTGAGTGAGTGAGTGAGCGAACTTACTTTAGCCTTGATCGCCAGAAAGAATTCCGAGCACCAAGAAAGTACCGGCACTTCAGGGTTTTCACGTGTCGGGCCCTGGTAGGCGATATTATATCGACACCATTTCGTTACTTTTCTGGGCGCTCGAAATCATTTCTGGTGTGTGGTCCGTGGGAACAACATAATCCCAGCTCCCTAGAGGTCTGGACGCCCTCCTCGGGGATCGCCTTTTCAGTCCGAGTCGCGTTCTGACGGCCAGGGGCCCCGGTCAGGGTCCCCACCCGTCGGTTCGCGACGCGGGATGTCAGAGGGTACCTGAGCGACGCAAGCAAAAACATGGGATCGTCTGCGCCGACATCTGCGCGTAAACTGCTCGCGGAATGTCGCGCGTAAGCGCCCTCGCTTCCAGTGTGGCGTGCCGCGCTTGCGGCCCGCGTCAGCCACCGCGTAAGGTCGCCGTGCCGTTTCGCGTAAGACCCGTTTTGGATTGTCGCTCAGCGCCCACGCCCGTAGCCCCGTCGCTCAGCGCCCCCCCCGTTCTCCGCTCTGCGCCCACGCCCGCAGCCCCTCGCGCCTGGTCCGCGCGCGCGAGGAGGCGTGCAGGAGGAGGCTGTTCAGTGGCGAGGCGAGCGCGCTCGGCCCCACCCGCTACCCGCGCCGTGGGGAGGGGGAGGACGACAGAGGAGGAGGAGGAGGAGGAGGAGGAGGAGGAGGAGGAGGAGGAGGAGGAGGAGGAGGAGGAGGAGGAGGAGGAGGAGGAGGAGGAGGAGGAGGAGGAGGCGGAGGAGGAGGAGGAGGAGGAGGAGGAGGAGGAGGAGAGGGAGGAGGAGGAGGGAGGAGGAGGATGAGGAGCGTAAGGAGGAGGAGGAGAAGGAGGAGGAGGAGGAGGAGAGAGGAGGAGCCTGAGGAGGAGAGGAGAGGAGAGGAGGAGCAGCAGCAGCAGCAGGAGGTGGATGAAGAGGGGGGGGAGGAGAGGTGGGGGGAGGAGGAGGTGAGAGGAGGAGGAGGAGGGAGGAGGAGGAGGAGGAGGAGGAGGAGGAGGAGGAGGAGAGAAAGAATGTTGCTATGAAGGTACCACATCGTTCAGCATGCAGAACAACACCACTTCAACGAGTTCGGAGTAAGGGTCTTCAGAGGGGGCGAAACCTATCGAGGAGGAGGAAGAGGAGGAGGAGGAGGAGGAGGAGGAGGAGGAGGTGAACGTGAAAGTGAAAGGAGGAGGTGAGGAGCAGTAGGATGAGAAGGGATGGAGGGGGATGAGGAGGAGGAGGAGGAGGAGGAGGAGGAGGAGGAGGAGGAGGAGGAGGAGGAGGAGGTTCTGGCGTAACTGCGTTGAGCCAGCTCCTCTGCACGCGGCCCGCGGGTCTCTGCCCGCTGTGGTGCGCGGCGGGCCCCGCGCGCGGCGCGAGAGGCGGGGACGCCTCGGAGCGGGCGGCGGTCAGTTCAGGGGCGTTGACGGGACATCACCTTGTGAGGGCGTCCACGTTTTGGACACCCGAGATGGGCACGGAAAGCATGGGCACTATGCCCAACAACAAATGTTGTCCCAAGCCAACAGCGGCCGCTGTTGGGCAGGCGGCCTTCTGTCTCGAATGGACACAGGCCGCGGCTGCGTGGACAGCGAATCCTGTTGAAAATGAACAGGAATTGTTGTTGGGCATTGTACCCATTCTTTCAGTACCCATTTCGGGCGTCCAAACACGTGGGGCGCTCCAAAAAGGGCCTCGCTTTCGAGAGGTGAAGGAGTTGCCATCGCTTCCGCCCCAGAAAGGGCGGCGGAAGGGCAGCGGAAGCGAAGCGATGCCGCCTCGGTCGGCAGAGGCCTGCGGAAGGCGGCGGAAGCAACGGATGCGCCCCTCAAGAGATGAAAACGTTTTGGGGTTCAAGGTTTTTCGGAATCGGTCACATGCGTCCACTCCACCCCGCTCCCTCCTCTCCTCTTCCCTTCTCGAGCCCCAGACGGGAACATCTCCGAAGGTTGGGTACAGGTTCGTGGCCCAGGGCGATTCCCCGAGCTCAGCAGGCAGCTCAAGCGTCGTGCCGATTCTGGCACAGGATAGCTATCACCTCGTGCTTGGGTCCAGACTGGGCTTGGCCAGGATCAGGTCGGGGATGTCTCCGGATGTTCTCATCGCTTCTCGGTCAGCAGGAGGAGGAGGAGGAGGAGGAGGAGGAGGAGGACCAGTGTAAAACCAAGAGTCATCAACGATGTTGCAATTAACCCCCACAACTGTTCGCCTCCTGATGGATCAGCAGCTGCGCCTCGCCGGGCGCTCTCCAGCAGTGCCTATAGGTCGCCCCGATCGGCCGCCCGTGGCCCGAGCGGTGTCCTGAGAGCCTTGCGGCCGCGCCTCGTGTCCAGCAGGGACAGCACGTGTTTGGCAGTCTTCGACCTCCAGTGGCATGCACGGGCCTGGGGGCGGTGAAACAGCTATGCATTCGTGGTGAGAGCCAGTCTCCGGGAAGGGGTCCAGACCTCTGGGGAGCCACGTTGTGCAACAGGAAGCAGCGTCGAATGTGTGGGGGGGGGCATGGGCCCCCAACTTTCATCGCCGATCGGTGCTTTGCCCCCCCCCCCCACCAGGAAGGTTCGGCTTTGTCCCGACAGCACATTGCCCTCGATTTGTCGAGCCGTGTCGGGATGGTGAGGAGAAGGTGAATGAGGAATCGGAGGAGGAATGGATGAGTGGATGCCCTTCACGGTCAATTTTATCATCGAGTGAGCTGCTGTGTGAGGATGCGGAGGAGCGAAGGCATTCGTTCTCCTCTTGCTCCTCGACGTCGTCCTACTCCTCCTTTCCTCCTCCCTTCTCGAGCCCTAGACGGAACATCTCCGAAGGTCGGGTACAGGTCTTGGCACAGGGCGATTTCCCGAGCTCAGCAGGCAGCTCAAGCGTCGTGCCAATTCTTGTCCAGGATATCACCTTGTGATTGGGTCCATTCCACTCCGCCCCAGTCCCTCCTCGCGCTCCGAGGATCCCCAAGGCGGGCTCAGCACCACCCTGGTCCCCCGTGGCCCCCTGGCCCCCCTGAGCCACCCGAGGCCTTCCTACCTCTCCCCCCCTCCGTGCTCGCTTCTTCAGTTCAGGGGCGCCGACGGGGGCCGCCGCCTCCTCCTCGGGTCTCCGGGTACTTTCGGACGTCTTCGTCGCTTCGTGAAGGTCATCCTCACGTCTTGCGCCTCCCGCGGGGCGGAGCTCGAGCTCGGAAGACTGGGGGCCCAGACTGGGCTTGTCCAGGATCAGGTCGGGGAGGTCTCCGGATGTTCTCACCGCTTCTTGGATGCCTCCCTTCCAGCAGCTGCGCCTCGTGGAACGCGTGCCAGCCTCGCCTGCGCCTCGCCTGAGCCACCCGAGGCCTTCCTAGGGGGCCACATGCGAACCCTACCCCTACCCCCCACGGTCTCTGAGGGGGAGGGTGGGGTCCACTTCGTGCGGGAGCTCCCGAGCGAAGGGAACCCCACCCTCCCCCTCAGAAATCGGGGGTAGGGGAGGGGTAGGGTTCGCCTGTGGCCCCCTACCTTCTCCCCCCCCATCCGCGCTCCCTCCTCCTCGCGCGCTGCCCGGTCCTCCTCGTCTTGGGCCCCGCGGCCCCCGGAGCCCAGGCGCGGGGCCCGCAGGACGAGGACGCCTTCGTGCGGGGGACCGCGCAGTACCAGAAGGACAACCTGCCCAAGGACTCCCCAGCGGCAGGAGGCACGTCGGAGGCCTGCTGGTTGACCCCAGCACGAAGAGTGGCGGTGTGCCTCCACCGAGAGAGGTGCTCCCGATCCCCGCAGCGGTGCTGATGCTCGGGCTCCCTCACTGGCCGAACCATCCTCACCAGCACCAGCATCTGGCCCCGTGCGCTCCTTGCTGGTGCAGCTCTTCGGCCTCGCCGCCGGGGGAAAACAGGACAAGTCGGTGCCCGTTTCCAGGCCTCCAGGGGGGGGCACGCGGCCGGCACGCCAGCGCTCCTCCTCCTCCCCCTCCTCCTCCTCCTCCTCCTCCTCCTCCTCCTCCTCCTCCTACTCCTCCCCTCCTCCTCCACCTCCTCCTCCTCCTCCTCCTCCTCCTCCTCCCTCCTCCTCCTCCTCCTCCTCCTCCTCCTCCTCCCTCCTCCTCCTCCTCCCCCTCCTCCCCTCCTCCTCCTCCTCCTCCTCCTCCTCCTCCTCCTCCCTCCTCCTCCTCCTCCTCCTCCTCCTCCCTCCTCCTCCTCCTCCTCCTCATCCTCCTCCTACCTCCTCCTCCTCCTCCTCCCCATCCCTGCTCTTCCTCATCCTGACTTCTCCACAGAATCCTCCGAGGAGGCACGGCGACCTTTCCAGTTGCCAGGCGACCGAGGGCACGCCTGCGGAGGCCCCCACATGCGATGGGGGCTGGGCGGGCGCACGGGCAGCCGCATGCAACTCCGGGTGCCAAGCCGCCGTGTGGTTGCGTGCGCCCGAGGGGCGTGAGGAGGAGGAGGAGGAGGAGGAGGAGGAGGAGGAGGAGGAGGAGGAGGAGGAGGAGGAGGAGGAGGAGGAGGAGGAGAGGAGGAGGAGGAGGAGGAGGAGGAGGAGGAGGAGGAGAGGAGGAGGAGGAGGAGGAGGAGGAGGAGGAGGAGGAGGAGGAGGATTAGATAGAGGAGGAGGCTGAGGAGCAGAGAGGATGAAGATGAGGAGGAGGGACCAGGGAGAAGGAGGAGGACGAGGAGGAGGAGGAGGAGGAGGAGGAGAGCAGATATAGAGGAGTAGGCTGAGGAACAGAGAGGACGAAGAGGAGGAGGAGGAGGAGGAGGAGGAGGAGGAGGAGGAGGAGGATGAGGAGGAGGAGGGACCAGCGAGGAGGAGGAGGAGGAGGAGGAAGCGGAGGAGGAGGAGGCGAGCAGATAGAGGAGGAATTTGTGGAACAGAGAGGACGACGAGGAGAAGGAGGAGGAGGATGAGGAGGAGTAGGAGGAGGATGAGGAGGAGGAGGAGGAGTGACCTGGGAGGGAGGTATTGGTGTACGGTCCACGTGTTGCCATGCCGTCATGGGGCAGTATCGTGGTCTCGGTATGGTTGAGGGGGATGCGATGACGAAGGACGACGAGAAGTGCTGTAATGTCTTCCACATGAGCCTGGCGCGACTCTCAGAACGTTTCGTTTGTCTTCGCAAGGGATTCAAAACAGTTTAGAGCAATGCAAAGCAATGCAAGACAAAGCGCTGCTTGGCATTGCTTGGCATTGCTTGGAATCGTTGCTTGGGACAACGTTGTATTCCTTGGCATTGCTTGGTATTGCTTGGCATTGCGTGCCTTGTGTGACATTGCATGGCGTTGCTTGGCGTTGCTTGACTTTGCTTTGCGTTGCTTGGCACTGCGTGGCTTTGCGTGGCATTCCTTGGCATTGGCTTTGCATCGCATCGCATCACTTTGCGTTACCCGGCATTGGTTGGCATAGCTTGGCATTGCTTGGCGTTGCTTGGTGTTGCTTGACATTGCCTGGCACTGCAAGAACCAGGGGATCCGAGGAACGCGCTCATGGAACCCAGGGAACAAGAGCAGGGAACCCGAGAAAGAAAGGCTAGGACCGGGAGCGGCCAACCGAGAAAGGACGGGGGCACCCAAGGAACCAGACCAGGGAGCTTGAGCAGTGCCTAGGGAAGGACACCAAGACCAGGGAACCGAGCCAAGCCGGTGGCCGCCTCGGAATTGACACCCCGCACTCCACCGATTCCACAGACCCCCGACGTCGTGATTTGTTCGCAACGTCGGCACCCAGACCGAGACCCCCTCGCGTTGTGCAAAAATCACGACGGGAGGTTAGTTCCAGTTTTCTGCTTGCGGGGATCCTTACCGGGCCTCGGGACCGTCAAAAAACGACTTCGGATGAGAAACCTGTCCTGGGCAAGGGGTCCAGACCTCTGAGGGTCGATGTTGTGAAGAATCGCGACATCGGGGGTCTGGGGAGGTCTGGACCCCTTCCCCAAGTCCGGTTTGTCATCTGGAGTCGTCTTCTTGACGGTCCCGGGGCCTGGTCGGGGCCCCCATGGAGGCCGAAGATCACGAGACACCTCCCGTCGTGATTGCTTCACAACGCGGGGAGGTCTGGGCCTTTCCCAGGCAAGTGCGGTGGGGATGTTTTGCATAGCGTGCCGCTTCGCCGGATCTGGCCAACCGCGCTTCGGTGCGACGCGCTACCAACTTCCGGGTCCCAAAGCGTCTATGTCCCGCACTTTGCCCAGAATCCCGCCCCGCGGAGCGGGGCGACACGCTATCCGCTTACAGGGCATAGCGCATCGCCGGGGCCGCCGGGGCGACACGCTGAGAAAAGGTTCCCGCTCGCAAGAAGCCCCCGGGCAAATACGAATTTGGCAGTCAGGGTCAAAGGTTATGATGTCCCAACCTACTTCAACTTTGATCGCCAGAAAAAAATCGAGCACCAAGAAAGTACCGAAACTCAAGAGTTTTCACGTACTGGGCCCTGGGACACACGCGTTCGACATTGTTTCGACACTTTTCTGGGTGCTCGAAGTTATTTTTGAGATGTGGTCTTCAAGTACGATGGAAGCAACATAAGTCAAAGGATTTCCAGGGTGGGCGTTCCTTCCTCACCCCTGCCTCCATCCTTTCCATCGCTCCCGCCCTCCCTCCAGCATGCTTCCCCATCTCCCCGCCCCATCCATCGTGCTCTCTCTCTTTCCAGGGGCAGGGGGAGTTCTAGGGTGGTCGGGGATCTCTGCTGGACTCCCCGGGGTTCCAGGACAGGGTGGGGAGGGAGAGGCCTGTGTACGAGAAGTGGGGGCGTCCTGGGGGAGGATGCGGGCAGGGAGGAGACAGAGGAGGAGGAGGGCGAGGCTTGCGAGGATGTTGCACGCTCCAGGCTGCCGCCTCCTAGTTGGTCTAACTTCAAGACTTTGGGAGGATGCGGGGAAGGAGGGGAAGGGTGCTCCCCGCGCGCCAGGACGGGAGCCCCAGCACGAGCGACTTCTTCAAGGAGGTCGCAGGCAGTCCGCCGGCGTGGCGTCGCGTCGCCGGCCTGCTGCAGCGGCCACGTGTATCAACCAGTGGCGAGGCGTCTCGGCTTGTCTATAGGCCCACCAAAGAATGCTCCAAGAACCTTTCGTGGTTTGCACGACATGTTCTTAGAGCATGTCTTGCTGATATTGTCTTGATTTAATACATCTGGTTTCTGTTATGAGACCATGGTTTGTATCGTTCTAACCGTCTTGGGTTCTAAGAACATGTCCTGGTAGCCCTATAAGAATGCCGGGACGGTCGGTCCCTTGCTCAAGCGTAAGCATGTACAGTCAGCCCGCATAGTGAGGATGGGCAACCTTCTCACGGGTACCTTTGCATCCTTGCCCCATTCGTCCCATCCTTAGCGATGTTCGCTGGCCAGCCCCGTTCGGAAAACGTCAACATGAGCCATGTGTAAGCATGTACAGTCAGCCCGCGTAGTACGGATGGGCAACCTTCCCAAGGGTACCCTCGCATCGTTGTCCCATTCGGTCCATCCTTAGCGACTTTCGCTGGGCAGCCCCGCTCGGAAAACGTCAACATGGGTCTCGAAGGCCCCTGCATCTTTACCGCGCATCCTTATGATACGGATCGCCTGTATGCGACGACATCGAGAGAAACCAAGTGTTGCACGATACTTCGTATTAAAGACATGGGCAAGCACATGGAAGCAGGTGGAGCCACATGCATGCAAGCGCCAGTAACTATAGGCAGGGCTCTCTACGTCCATCAAAAGTTCAAGGATGTGAGAGCAAGAGTCAGCACGTGCAGACGTCTGAGAGCGTGATTGCACGATTCTTGGTATGCAACATGTGATGCGTTGCAAGCGTGCAGGCGCAAGGGAAGTCAAGACAACGATGCAGAGCGGCAATGCGCGCTTGCAGCTTGCATGCCTGAATTGTGCATCAGCGTTCTTGTTCAGTGTGTGTGGGTGCATTTGCATGTGTTTGTTTGTTTGGTGTGTGGATGTGTGTGTGTGTGTGTGTGTGCGTGCGTGTGTGTGTGTGTGTGTGTTTGTTCGCGCGCATTTCGCCCGCCACCCATCGTCATTAAAGAACGATGGCGTTTTCCATCTGTCTGTCTGTCTCTGTCTCTCTCTCTCTCTCTGTCTGTCTCTCTCCCTCTCTCTCTCTCCCTGTCTCGACATGCATCTGTAGAAATTTTCACGATGTGTAGATATTCTTATTACTACTATACGTCCTGTCGGAACGGGTTCGGAAGCATTGGCGGAAGGGGGGCGGAAGCCAGCATGCTAGGTTCAATGCGAGAGAGGTTGGTTGGTTGGTTGGTTGGCTGGTAGGCTTCCGCCATATGTATAATGCTGCTGCGCTCTCAAGGAGCAGCATTCAGAAGCGCTGCATTCATCGCCAGTGTCAATGCAGCGCTCTTGACCGACATTGTTTCGACAGTGACAGCCTTGTGCTTGCATTTTCTTTTCAAATGCATAGAAATATATTTAGCGAACTCCGAGTTTACGATGATGTGTAATGAGCGTTGTACGGAATACAGATTGTGATGTGTTTCGATGTGTTCATTGCAGAGAATTGAACGCATGATACTGTACGTGTTCATGTAAATGCATATGGGCGCAAGCACGGGGTGGCGGAAGGTTTCTGGAAGGACTGCGGAAGCAAACCGTCGGCATCAATTATGGTGGCGGAAGTTCGCGGAAGGTCGGCAGAGGGATGCGGATGTAATGCAAGATATGAACAGACAATCAGTTATAGAGTTTCCGAAACATGTCACATTGGTGCATCCCTCATTACTTCTACCGATATCACACTCTGTCTACCTTCATCCCACTCTACAGGTCTCTCGTGAATGTCTTCTGGTCTACCGTCAGCCCACTCTGCCGTGCGACATGTTCCATTCACATTGCACTTCGCGGCATGCTGGCCATATTGCACGCAGTCTCTCTTAAGCCAGCGGTGCATGATATCCACAGGTTTCTTTCTAAGCTTGATGTTGAACTTACAAGCGGCAGCTTGGTTGTACGTTGGACGCGAGGCCTACGCGTACTGGAAGCAGATGTGGACCAGAATTCGGAGGATGCCATTGGATGAACTCTGCTTTTGAATTTGGGTGTCGTCTCCATAAGCTATCGTTACGTCCGTGCTCATATTCTTTGGCATGCGTCGATGCTCGGATCGATGCTTGGGCAAGACTCTTCTCGTGTGTTGCTTCAGTCTGGGCCGCTCCCAGAAGGGATCCTGCCCCTCAAGTGATTGGCACCCCACGCTTCGTCAGGTTGTCCCACCGGCATGTACGCGTTCGTCGCCTCGCTGTCGCGCATACGTCGTCGATGTTTTCGGTCATGTGCGCGCGCGTGGCGGGAACGCTACTCGTCGGCAACACGCTCATGATGAGGTTCCGAGCGCGCCTGGCATGTTCATCGCTGTGCTGTGTGGCGATTTGGTGTGGCCATGGGGACAGAAGCTGGTGTGGCGTGATGGACCCTTGGCGCGGCTACGGCTTTGGATCCTCCGACGCACGGCGGGAGGCTGCGCAGCTCGAGAGTATCGCACCAGATGAGATTCGGCCATCCGGCCGAGCGAATACACAATCGTGCCGCGCAAGCGGCGCCGCCGCACGTTTTCGGACGTCTGTGTCCGTTCGCATTGACGCAGGAATGGGGGAACATCCTTGGGAGCGAAGAGGAGGACACTCCAGATTTCACCATCAAGGGGGTGCGGTCTGATCTGGGAGGGGGTCAGATTGGAGCTGTCTTGTAGGCTTCCGATGGGTCTGGGCAAAAGGAAGCCCTTCCATGGCTGGTTTGGGGGGGATCTAGAATTGCCCGTCTGGGAGGGTTGTGACCCCCTCCCAGTGACTGCGAAATCTGGAGTGCAGTCGGACCGAGGCATAAGATCGATGTCGGCTGGAGGGTACCCTCGTGTTCTTAATGCCTGTTGGATGTTCTTGTGCAGCCTGGGGAGGGCACCCCTGGATGTTCTGTGTGCTTTTTGGCTTGCGGATGGTTCTCCCGTTCTTGAGGGATGTCATATGGCCGAAGTCCGACTGTATACAGTGGAGGCCCATGCCAAGCAAAGAATGGAATGGAGGCCCATGCCAAGAAACACCCTGCTTGCCGCCAGGGTGCCCTGGGTGTCTTGGGTGTCGACGGCCTTGCGATGGAAAACGTGGCGTTCCCACACCAGGCCCATGCCAAGCAAAGAATGGAATGGAGGCCCATGCCAAGAAACACCCTGCTTGCCGCCAGGGTGCCCTGGGTGTCTTGGGTGTCGACGGCCTTGCGATGGAAAGCGTGGCGTTCCCACACCAAAAATCAATGGAAGTCCTGGCGTCTCAGGGTTGGGCTTTTTGTGGAAGGTTTCTGGTGATCGGGCCCCTACTGTATACGTTGTGCCTGTTCGGAGGAGGCCACCGTGCTTCGCCACGGCCGCCCACCGCGCTCTGGCCCTGCGCGCCCGGCTGCTGCTGCCCGTCCGGCTGCTCATCGTCGAACTATTCGGCGTCTGAGCGTCCCTCCTTCCTCTCGGCCGTCCCCCTCCCCTCGTTGCTCGCCGGCCAGCTCGCCAGTCCGTGCCCTGGCTTCACGCCGGGACGGCTTGCGCCGCCCCGCCGCCGACGAGAAGCGCTCGGAGGAGGCCGTGGGGGCCCCAGGGCGTCCCAGAGATGCTCCCGGAGGTCTCCCGGAGCGGCCCTGGGCCGCCCAGGGGTCGGGGGTGGACAGAACCCCCACCGGTGACACGTCGATTCGTGAATCGTCCGTTTTCGGTTCTCGAGAAGGAAGGCGCCGCGGCCGTTTTTTTCAGGCGTGCGCCCGCCAGGTTTGGGGCCTCAGGTCGTTTTCACTAAACCGCGTTGTGCTAAAGGGAGGTCTGTCCATCCCTGAAGGGGGGGGGCTCTCGGGAGGCTCAGCTGGGAGGCCCTGGTCGGGGGCCGTCCGGGCCGTCCGGGCCCGCGGGGGGGGCTCCGCGGGCGGAGCTCTCCGCGGAGGTCGCGCTTTCTCCGCGCGTCGGAGGACGCGTACGTGCTCGCAGCCCCCCTCGCGCTGCGAGAGCAAAAATCGCGACGGGAGGCTTCTCGCCACGTTCGGCCTCCGGGGGTCCTTAATTACCGGGCCGCGGGGCCGTCGACGAACGATGTGGGATGAGAGGGCCGGTCCCGGGCACAGGGGTCCAGACCTCTGGGGGTCGACGTCGTGGGGAAAAATCGCGACGTCGGGGGTCTGGCATGGAAGGGCGATGGACGGGTGGGCAGCGAGGGCTGCCGAAAGGGGGCCCCTTAGGGCCCCGCTGAAGAGGCCCTAGGGGGAGCTTTTGAGGCCCACGGGGCCCCTGAATAGGGGAACAAAAAGTGGCATAAACATAAAAACTCGGAGGTCCGCGCGGATTTCTCGGATCGGCGCTGGGGCCCCCCGGCGGCGCCTCCGGCGCCGCCCCTGGCGCGCTCCGCGCGCCAGGGAGGTGGCCCCAGCGCCGATCCGAGAAATCCGCGCGGACCTCCGAGTTTTTCTATGTTTATGTTTATGCCACTTTTTGTTCCCCTACTGGAGGGCCTTTTGGGGGCCCTTGAGGGCATCTGCCCCCCCCCTTCAACGATTGCCCCCCCATGAGCCCCAAAGCTGCCCCCATTAGTCGCGAGTCCAAAAGCGTGGCCGGCCGCGGGTGTGGATCCCTTCCCCCTCCGCCTCCGCCTCCTCCTCCTCCTCCTCCTCCTCCTCCTCCTCCGCCTCCCTCCTCCTCCTCCTCCTCCTCCTCCCCCTCCTCCTCCTAGGGACCTGCTCTTCCTCCCGAGTCGTGTTCTCGGGCGGCCCTGGGCCCAGCGGGGGCCCCCAGGGGCCAGGCATGGCAAAGAATAGGCAGAGCGATTGCGCGATGCCTCTGCGCGGCGCGAGGGCGCCAGGGAAGCGCCGTCTTCGGGGCGTCCGGTGCCGCTCTTGTTCTAGGCCTCCTACAAGCCTCGCCAAAAGTATCCAGAAATGGAAGTTGAAATCTTGGAGCACGATGCTGTCGAGCACTTGTCAGAAACCGCGTTCTTCAATGCTGAGAGGGTGGGGCCGATTTTTGGACAACACCGCGTCCGAGTCAACGGGAATCCGTCAGCATTGGAGTAGCGCTGACCCCACAATCACCGAATTCAGAGGTCTTCTGTTTATGTTTGACGAGGCTTGTAAATGGGGTCGGAGTAGATGGCGTCGGAGGATCGCGCCGCATCGCCGATGCATCACCGATGCGGCTCGATGTGGATCCCCGATTTGCTCCACGTCGACGTCGCCGATGAACCGCCAACATCGACGATGCGTCGCCGATGCATTGGCGATGCATCGCCGATGGATCGGTGATGCATCGGCGATATGGCGCGATCCTCCAACCGCATTTACTCGGACCGCTTCTACTTGTGCGGGGGAAGACAAGTAGAACATCAGCTGCTCCGCCCCCGAGGACGCCTGGTCCCAGGGCGGCTAGGAAGTCTATGCCCCGACGGGGGCAGCTCGGGGCTGAGGCTCGAGGGTGGATCACGCAGCGAGAACCGGAGAGGCCGTCGAACGAGGAACGATTGACACGGGGGTGGGGTCCAGGATCTCGAAAGAGAGGAAACGGCATAAGCTGAAACTGTTGGCGCTCCGCGCGGGTTTCTTGGATCGGCGCTGGGCCCCTTCTGGCGGCGCCTCCGGCGCCGCCCCTGTTGGCGCTCCGCGCGGGTTTCTTGGATCGGCGCTGGGCCCCTCCTGGCGGCGCTTCCGGCGCCGCCCCTGGCGCGCTCCGCGAGCCAGGGAGGGGGGATCCAGCGCAGATCCAAGAAATCCGCGCGGAACGCAAAAAGTTTTATGGTTATGCCGCTGTTTCTTCTCCTAGGATCGCCCCCCTCGATCGGAGCCAGCAGGCGCACCTGATTGTTCGTCATCTCGTCCTCCTCCTCCTCCTCCCCCTCCTCCTACTCCTCCTCCTCCTCCTCCTCCTCCTCCTCCTCCCTCCCCTCCTCCACCTCCCTCCTCCCCCCCTCCTCCTCCCTCCTCCCCCCTCCCTCCTCCCTGCTCCCTGCTCCCTGCTCCTGCTGCTCTCCTCCTCAGATGGCACTATATAGCGCCATACGACTCCTCCCCCTCCTCCTTCCCCCCTCCTCCTCCCCCTCTTCCTCTCCTCCTCCTCCTCCTCATCCTCATCCTCATCATCATATCATCATCATCATCATCATCATCATCATCATCATCATCATCATCATCATCATCATCATCATCATCATCATCATCATCATCATCATCATCATCATCATCATCATCATCATCATCATCATCATCATCCTCTGGCATTGCTCCATACGATGCGATCATCAGTGCGCTTGTCGCAGCGTGGCCTCCCCCTGTCTCGCGTGCTCGATGCCCCGGGGCGCCTGCAGTGCGCAGACGATGGCCACCCAACCATGACGACGTGCACCACGGGAGGGGGAGGAAGGAGGAGGAGGAGGAGGAGGAGGAGGAGGAGGAGGAGGAGGAGGAGGAGGAGGAAGAGGAGGAGCAGCAGCAGCCACAGGAGGATCAGGTCGAGGACGGGGCGACGCTGGACGAGGGCATTCCAGGGAGATGCAGACGTGACGAGCACAGCAGGACCAGGCCGAGGACGAGGAGAAGCTGTGGGGCACTCCAGGAAGAGGAGAACGCGAGGAGCACAAGGAGCAAGTGGAGATGCGCGAGCAGCACCAGCGGAGCGCGTGCCGCACGCCCGGGACCCCTTTGTTTGGAGCCGAAGTAATCCTCCCTCCTCCCTCCTCCTCCTCCTCCTCCTCCTCCTCCTCCTCCTCCTCTCCTCCTCCTCCTCCTCTCCTCCTCCTCCTCCTCCTCCTCCTCCTCCTCCTCCTCCTCCTCTCCTCCTCCTCCTCCTCCTCCTCCTCCTCCTCCTCCTCCTCCTCTTCTCCTCCTCCTCCTCCTTCTCCTCTTTCTCCTCCTCCTCCTAGTCGAGGACAGCGTCTTTCAGTCGATGTGCGTCTACATGGAGGCCAAGGGCCAGTTCTTCAACTACCTCCGCTCCGAGGAGGAGCTCACGGGCGAGCGCGAGACGCAGGCCTGAGCGGCCAAGAGAGAGTTGGGGAGGAGGAGGAGGAGGAGGAGGAGGAGGAGGAGGAGGAGGAGGAGGAGGAGGAGGAGGAGGAGGAGGAGGAGGAGGAGGGAGGAGAAGGAGGAGGAGGAGGAGGAGGAGGAGGAGGAGTAGGAGGAGTGTCCCAGCCATGGTCAGCAGAGCAGGACGTCGGGGGGCCGAATGACTTGCGGGGAGGAGCATCCGCAGCAGGAGCCGCAAGGTGAGGAGCACCGCAGCAGGATGAGCGTCAGCAGCAGGAGCAGGAGCAGCACGCGGGATGCTGCCTCCGGGACGCCTGGGCCGCGCCACGCCTGCTGCCGCGCTGGCGCGCCGCCCTCGAGCGCGTCGTGCAGTACGCGAGCGCCGACATTGACTTGTTGGCGCTCGGCTGCACGCCGTCCGCCGCCGCGGCCAGGGTGGCTTACGGCCGCGTGATGCCGGCGTGAGCAGCAGCGGGTATTGTAGCATTGTAGCAGGAAGTGCGCGTGTCCGCCAGCGGTGTATCAGCAGGAGCAGCAGAAGCCAGACGAGCACCAGCAGCAGCATCGGCTGCAGGAGCAGCGCCACTGTCAGAAGCAAGCAGCGGCAGGAGCAGCAGCTGCAACAGCAGCAGAGCTTTGGCATCCCTTCTGCTCTCATAGACGCTCACTCATCAGCCCTTTCTCCTCTCCCTCGTCTTCCTCCTGCTCCTCTCCCCCCTCCCTCTTTCGCAAGCCTCCCGTCCAACGAAGCAAAGCGACATGCCATCGGCTTGCAAGGCACAGCGTGCCGCAGAGGCCTCCTCCGCGACACGCTAAGCAAGTATTCCTCACTGTAGCCGGGCGACCCACAGACAAGCTCTGGAAGATTGTATGCGCAGTGCAGATTTGAGCATGTTTTGAATGTGGCGTTCGCGTCGCCAGTCCGTGGCCACGTGAGGAGAGGAGGACGGAGGGGGGAGGACGGAGGGGAAGGGGGCGAAGAGGAGAATGATGGGAAGCGGGGCGAGAGCATTCTCCCAGATCCACTTTTCCTACCGCCTCCCTCGGAGGATCTCTGGACACTTCAAAACATCTTCGAACATCGGTGACGAAATTGACAACGACAAGGACGACGACCACGATGGACGATGACGACGACGACAAGGACGACGATGATGACGACAGGGACGATGACGACGACAAGGACGACGATGACGACGACAGGGACGACGACGACGACGACGACGACGCCGGCACCGACGACATCGACGACGGCATCGACGACGGCATCGACGGCGGCGCGCGCCCCGCCCCGCCCCACACAGGCCGCCGAGCGCGAGGCCCAGGCGGCCGAGGCGGAGCGGCGGGAGAAGGCGAGGGTCAAGGCCGCCGCGACGCGGCCGCCCCGCACTGCCGGCCTTGGGTGGCGCCGCCGCCGCCGCCGCCCGCGGCGACGGCGGCGGCGAGCGGGGTGGCGGGTGCGCTCCTTTCGGTGCCGATGCGCCTCCCTGCCCCGTGCCGCGGCCTCTCCTGCCGAGCTCCGCCCTCCGACCAATTGCCCTTTCCTCCTGCCCCGGTTCCCTCCGGTCCCGCTCTTTCCCCCGCTCCTTTCTCCTCCTCCTCGTCCGTTCCTTTCCTCATTGTTCTCCCTCCTCCTCCTCCTCCTCCTCCTCCTCCTCCTCCTCCTCCTCCTCCTCCTCCTCCTCGTCCTCCTCCCTCGGCGCTGCCGCTGGCGACGGCAACGACGACCACGACTGGGAGAACTGGGAGGAGGACGAGGACCAGAGTGAGCCCAAGATTCATCAACGATGCTGAAATACGGTCGGCCCGGGGTACAAGATCGAGGTCGGTTCTGGGAGGTACCCTCGTGTTCTTCATGCTCTTCGGATGTCATTGTGCCTCCTGGTGGAGGGAAGCCTCGAAGGTTCCTCAGTTCTGCCAGGCGGAGCATCTCATGTTCTTGAAGGATGTGTTTCCGTCCCAGGTCCGACCGTACACACCATCCCGCCCCAAGACCAGCCTCTCACGTCCCCACGCGCGTGCTACCTCACTACAGGAAGCTTCCCCTTGGAAGGCCAGCGCCACACGAGAGCCCTGCTGCGAAAAGGAGCTGGCTTCCGTCCCTCCTTAGGGAAGCAAGGCACGCGAGCAGATACGCTCGTCCCCCCCCCCGCGGCGTGTGTCCAGCGAGATGCCCGCGTTGAAATCGCATCTGAGACTTTTGGGGCGCAAGTTTGCGCGTCTTGGTCATGGCTTCCATGGAAGTCCCAAGCGAGGACCCCATGTTGAACAGGGGGTGCCTTCAAGCCGTGCTAGCTGCTTCATCTGTTCGGGTGTCCGGTCTTGAAGTCGTTCGCGAGAAGCCCGATGCTCAACGAAGGAGCCGTCCTCCATCCGTGTAGCGGGTGTAAGTCAACATTTGATGCGCATCCGAGTGGCGCTGTGGGAAATAAGCGTGGTGCAAAGAGGGACGCGCAATCCAGCCTTGCAGCCGCAAGTTTTCAGAACAACTGTGCGCGGTGCTCAGGCGAGAGTTCCATGTTGACAACGACCACTCCTGCATTCTTGCACCTGCTGCGAGCATTCATGACGAACGTGCGCGGTGCTGAGGCGAGAGCCCCCTTCGGATCCCTCCTCCACCCGCGCAGCTGTGGCGGCCTCCAGGCCTCAGCACGTGGTGAGGAAGTCTGTTGGCGAAACGCCCGGCCCCGCCTGCCTATCGGAACGCCCAGGGGGCGGCGCGGGAGCCCCTTACAAGGGCATGATATGGAGGAGGATGTGGGGGAGTGGGGGGCAGGGTGGAAGACGTGGAGGGGTGGAGTGGAGTGGAGTGTGAAGTGGAGTGGACTCCGCTACGATGCAGGTTCAGGGTTCTAGGAAGGCCTGGAGTGGGAGGAGGAGAGAGAGAGAGAGAGAGAGAGAGAGAAAGAGTGATATATGTATAGATATAGAGAGAGAGAGTCAACAAAAAACAAGTGATATCTTTAATGGCAAGGGGTGTGGGAGAGGGAGGAGCTTGCTAAGGCGGCGTCGTCTGACCCGAGCGCCCACTGCTCCAAGGCCGCAGGGAAGACCTTTGCGTCTGTCGCCCTCTCTGTGCCTCGTGGGGGGTCCCTCGCCGCCGACGCTCTCGAGAGCACCCCAGAAGAGGTCGGAGGGCCGACCCCTGAGGCCTGGGGCCCAGACCCCCAGCGTGACGGGAAGGCTGGAGCGGCCAGCTTGTCGTCAACCCGTGTCTGTGCAGGCGTGTTGGTCCCCAAGAGAGCAGGGGCGAGGAGGCCCCACTCCGGCGGCCTCCGCCCCCATTCCCCCCTTCCTCCTCCTCTGCCATCCTCCTCCTCCCCCTCCTCCTCCTCCTCCTCCTCCTCCTCCTCCTCCTCCTCCTCCTCCTCCTCCTCCTCGTCACCCCCTCGTCGCGATGTTCCGCCTGCATCGCCTCCTCCACAAGGAGAGGCGCGACGCCATCAGCGGGTCGTTCTCCCCTTGACTGCTCGCTCGATGGCCAAGGCCGCTCGGCAGGCCACTGACCTCCCTTCAGGAAGCAATGTGGTCAGACATCGTTACAGAGTGGCTAGGTCATGACTTGAAGTTTTCTCACGAACGGTCCGCCTCTCCTCCCTTCTCCCCCTCCTCCTCCCTCCTCCCTTGTATACCCAACTTTAACGTCGGACTTACATAGGTCATTTGGTGGTGAGAACAGGGGTGATTGAAAGGGTGCTTTCATTGGTGCGAAATTCGGCGGCCAGAAACAATTCCCAAACAAAACCATTATCGATAGGATGTGCGCATCGCCAGAGAAATCGTGTTGCGGGCGCGTCGGGGATGAGCGCGCTTGAGAGATGCAGCAGGCGCCTCGACCAAGAACGCGCAAGTGTTGTGTGGAGCCAAACGGGGGTTTCGTCTAAGCGCCGCTTTGTCTACATGTCTGGAGCCAATCGTCGCTCCAATCACTTGGAAATCGTTCCAATCACTTGGGAGGAGGGGGAGGGGGAGGAGTCCTCCCCCTCCTCCTCCTTCTTTTCCCCTGAGCTGCTGCTGCTGTTGACTTCACCCCTAGTGCCTCCAAATCTCAGCAGAGGCAAGAGGCGTTCAGCCAGGAAACGCCGACCTGCCCCTGAAGGCCCACGCGCGGGCACGCGGGAGCTCCTCCCTCCCCTGAGGTCCGACGTTGCGGCAGCACTTGCGGCGTCACGAAGACTCACCACCGGCAGCCCAGACTCTGGACCACGGCGTGCAAACGCGCGTGGCCAGGATCTCGGGGTCCTCGTCCCCCTCCTCCCTCCTCCCGCGCCCCTCCTCCCTCCCCCGTTCCTCTGCCCCCCCCCCTCCCACACTACCCCTGGACGCGCCTGCCCGCCCTCCCCCTGCCCCGCGGCGCCGCCAGGAGGCGGAGCAGGGCCTGCGCGCGGCGGCGGCCGAGAGCGAGGCCTCGGGAGGGGCGGGGGCGGGGGGGAGGCGGGTTCCGTGGCCGCCCCGGCGCGGCGACGGCCGCCAGCGCCGGCGAGGAGGAGCGAGGAGGAGACCTCGAGACCCCCCCGCTTGGACGGCGACGGCGGCGGCCGCCAGCGCCGCGCCGCGGACCGCTCAGCTCCGCGCCACCCTCCAGCTCCACCACCGGCCGGGGGCGAGTGCGGCGCGCGCCTCCGCGC